ATAAGGGTAGTATCAGGGGCTGATTAGGATAAGGCAAGTGAATTTTGCACTCACTCTCAGGGTCATGTAAATGGAGGCTCAGCATTCACACAGCCCTGACAATGAGTACCTCCTTAAATTTTGCATCCTAGGTGGCTCCTTTACCTCTCCCTAGTCTCAACCCTGGGGAGTGTGCTCTTTGTATTCCAAATCAAATGGGTTCAAATAAAGCAGAATAAAAAAGTGGCTTGTGCAGAGGAAGACCAAGAGGTAGTGCTAACTTCATGCATGATCGTGTCTTCAGATCTGTCTCAAGTCACACTTTCTCCTTTCTTGGTGTTATTTTCAGTCAACCTCCAAATTTGTACACAAGGTGGCTAGTGCCAACCGCAGGCACACACTAGTTCTGTTTTCACCTATTCAACCCCTGGAATACTTTGATTCAATCTTCTAGATTACATGGTCACCCCTATGTCAATGTCAGGGTGGTGTGTGTTGATTGTCAATGTCAGGGTGGTGTGTGTTGATTGGCCAGCTCTGATTAGGCCAGCTCTCCCTCAGTGGGAGTGACTGAGGCCCCACTTACCATTCACTCCACCAGAATCACTTGAAGTTCAGAGCCTGGGGACTCCCAAAGGGCACAGCTTGGACCAGTTGGCTGAGGTTGCTTCACCTCTGTCAGTCTATAGCTTTATGGAAATACCACAGGAAATGTTGGAATTTTCTCAAGTCATCTGAGCCTTACAGGTGGTCTGTTTACAGTTTAGTTGATATTCTTCAGGTTTCAAGTCACAGTGACATGATGGCTTAGGCAGAAGTCCTTTAATGGCAGAATACCTTCATCTGGACTGGTTTAAGCAAAAAAAAATAAAAAAATAAAAAAAATTAGCTGTGCAATTAAATAGTCCAGGGGTGGTACCAATGAGGTGCACTCCAGTCTGGGAGACAGAGTGAGACTCCAACTCAAAAAAAAAAAAAAGAGAAAAGAAATTTACCCACTAGTCTGTCTGTTCATTATCGATTTATTTTTGTTCTTTCAGTAATAGAGCCATTCCCAAATGAAGATTCCATTTTTCATTCTCCCTTGGAAATAGGTATGGCCATATGACAAAAGACTGGCCCATGGAATGCAAAAAAAAAAAGAGATGTTTGAGAGATCTGGGTCATATTTTTATTAAGAGGCTGTTTTTCCTCCATGCTTTCCCTGTCCCATTCCTGGGAAGTGATGGTAACTAAACTCAAGGATGGAAGCCATGTCTTGAGGTGCCAGAGCCTGAATCCCTGGATGACTTTATGGGACTAAGTGTCCGATATGTCTGCCCAGGTCAAACTGTCCACCCTGGATTGTAACATGAAAAATAAATAAGCTTTTGTCCAACTTAAGTCATTGCATTTTCGGGTCTAATTGTTACAACAGTTTCAATCTACTTAAATAGCATAATTTGTTCTTTGGGTGCTAGGGGAAGGGGTTCTAACACAGTCTCATTGGATTGGTTTGCTTCTTCTTTTTTTTTTTTGAGCTGGAGTCTCACTCTGTTGCCCAGACTGGAGTGCAGTGGCCGCTCCCGGCCACCACATCCTCGACCTGCTGAGCTCCGGCAATCCTTCCGCCTCAGTCTTCCAAGTAGCTGGAATTACAGCATGCGCTACCACGCCTGCTGATTTTTTGATTTATTGTAGAGATGAGGTCTCGCTGCCCAGGTGGGTCTCAAACCCGCGGGCTCAGGCAATCCACTCACCTCAGCCTCCCAAAGGCGCGGGATTACAGGCTGAGCCACCGAAGCGGTTTGCTTCTTTTTATCTCTTGGTTCTGCTCCTTTTGTGTGGCCTTTGTTCTCAGATAAGCACTCATCCAGGGTCTTACCATGTTGCACCAGAAGCTCCTGGGCTTCTTCCATCCATCCAGATTCCATTTCAGCCAGAATGTGAGTCTTTGTCCCAGTATTCAACAAAAGTAAACCAATTAACTCTTAATTAGCCAACTTAGGTCATGTGCTCATGTCTGAACCAATCATCAATTGTCCAAAGGAAAACAATGTACAGGACTGCACATGGAAGCAGGGTAAGTATACTCATAGTGAAAAAATGGTGACGACTATTGGAAGAAAGTAGTCTGGATGCTGAGGAAGCAAGCAGAAATGTATATTGCAAATAAGAAATTCTAAGTGTTGAAAATTGAGTCAGAAACATAGATTTAAATAATTTTGAGGGGTTCAGACCTATTTCCAGTGAAACCAAGTTGTGTGTGACTGTCTTTTTGGTAGCATATGGCAGGCAAGTTGTGCACTGTACAATTCTTTTTTTTTTTTTGAATTGGAGTCTCACTCTGTCGCCCAGACTGGAGTGCAGTGGTCGGCCGCTCCCGGCCACCGTAGCCTCGACCTGCTGGGCTCCGGCGATCCTTCTGCCTCAGCCTTCCAAGTAGCCGGAATTACAGGCATGTGCTACTACGCCCGGCTGATTTTTTGATTTATTGTAGAGATGAGGTCTCGCTGCCCACGCGGGTCTTGAACCCGCGGGCTCAGGCAATCCACTCACCTCAGCCTCCCAAAGGCGCAGGATTACAGGCTGAACCACCGAGCCCGGCTCACTGTACAATTCTATAAGCACGACTTATATTGTGTATCTCTGTGAATTGCTCTTTTCCCTTTCTGTCACAGTTGTATATTGCACAATTTAAACAAATGTAAGTAGCTGTCTTATGAATGGTATATCACAGTCTATATATTTTGCATGTATATACATTTGATTTCACAACCAACCAAGCACATAAAACCATATACTGAATTCACTCTTGCAGTTAAAAAGAAATCACTTGTTTCCTTACATCTGGTTGGATATTTCCTTAGTTTGATTCTGTTTTCCTCAGTTCTAGTTTAATTATTTATGGATATTGATTATAGTCAACATTAACTGTCAGGAGATGAATTTCTCAGTTTCAGTTTTGGTCAGTAATTATTTCTGTTATTATAGGTCGTTCACTTCAAGATTCTTATTCATTTTTTGTTCCCATGTTGCTGTGGATTTGATCTGCAAATGATTGTTAGATGAATGCCTTCCATGAACACCTTTATTTCATGGCAAATATAAGTAGCTTAAGAAAAACAAACAAAAACATTTCTAATCATTCAAAATCACTCTCCAAATGGTTTTTACGATTTCATCCTCTTTTAGTGAGAGATTGAAAATGAAAACATCGTTTTCCATAGAATGGCAACACGAAGACAGAGCAGATGGTTTACTCTACAGCAAAAAGAGTTCTTCCTGCCAGGATATTTCCTTTTCGATTATCTCAATTTAGTTTCAGTTCTCCCATGACAAATTCTTGGGGGAGTCTCCTCTTTAACTGACATTCACCAAACTGAAGTGACTAAAAACTAACATACCGGTGAGAAAGGAAAGTCATATAATCTTAGAATCGAAAGATCTTTGGAGGTCATCAGGTCAAACAACTCACTAGTAAATGAATCCTCCTTTCAGTAACTCTGATCAAAGATTGCTCAGCCTTGGTTTGTTCATCTCTAATGAATAAGAGTTGTCTAATTTCTGACATACTCTTTGCCTTTGTGAACAGTACAAATGATCAGAAAGATCTCCCTTGGAAACCAACTAGTATCCTCCGTCTACGTGATACCTGGTCTTCAGAATACATACAGGACAGTGCTTATGAGCAGAGCTGAGTGCCACACACACCTCCCTTCCATCCTAGCTCTGATAGTGGCCAGCTGTGAGACCTGCAGTAAGTCCCAGGGCCTTGACTCTTGTGAGTTTCAGTCTGTAAAATGTGGGTGCTAGTACTTAACCCATTATTCTCTTAAGATTAGCACAATGAAGCCTGGCTCCTTGGCTCAGCCTGTAATCCCGCACTTTGGGAGGCCGAGGTGAGTGGATTGCCTGAGCCTGCGGGTTCGAGACCCGCCTGGGCAACTTGGTGAGACCTCATCTCTACAATAAATCAAAAGATTAGCCGGGCGTGGTATCGCGCCCCTGTAGTTCCAGCTACTTGGAAGGCTGAGGCGGAAGAATCGCTGGAGCCCAGCAGGTCGAGGCTGCGGTGGTCGGAGCGGTCACTGCACTCCAGTCTGGGCGACAGAGTGAGACTCCAACTCAAAAAAAAAAAAGATTAGCACAACGTACTGCAGACTGGTGCTCAATAAATGTTAGTGATTATCAGCTCAAGTGTGCTTCACGAAGGTTATTCAGTCAGGGGCAGCTGAGTGTAAAATCTGGTCCCCGTTTAATCTTATGTTATAGGCAGTATCCCATAATCGTTATGAGGGTGAGCTCTATTGCCAGGCTATGAAAGTTTAAATACCAACCTGATATTTACATAAGGGGACACCTACCTCAGAAGTGCAGAGGATCTAAACGCCTTAATCCACGCAAAGGGCTTAGGACAGTGCCTGGCACCTTGGTGGCCATCTTGATAATCACTAAGGATTTACTGAGCACTTACTCTGGCTTTGGGGACCCACCTAGTGATGAGGCCAAGTCTTAGGCCCTGGGAAACTTACATTCCGGTGGGTAAGACAGGCTCAAACAAGGAAAATGTAGCAAATGATAGCCCAGAGGGCTGAGTCCCGGATGCCAAGGAAACCCACGGTAGCACTTAGTTTAAGCCATGACAATATACCTCTCCTTATATGACAAGGTCAAGGCAAACCGTAACACCACCTCTCCAAACACACACACACACACACACACACACACATACACACACACACACACACACACATACACACACACAATCAGCCCTGGGAGTGGGGTTGGGGGGGAATCTGGGCTGAAGGGAGAGGCGGGGTAGGCGGCGCTGGAAAAAGTAAAATTTCCTTTCCTTCTAAAATAAGCCACCGGAGCGAAAAGACAGGGCGCGTTATCTCGGCAGGCTGTTGG